AAAGAACAACTGAAAATTAACAGAATGCTAAATTAATGCCAAACCAATGCAAAAACACAGAGTTAGGGGAAGATTTCATCATGTATGTAGCAAATCAAAGGTAGTCTATAAGCCAGTAGGGTTGGTTGGTACGTATCGGTAAAAAGTTGACATGAACACCGACGGACAATCACTCATATGATAAGCTCTGTTTGATTAAGTCGACAGCGGAGCTAAAAAAGCAAGCAACATTGCCACAAGAGCAGAAGTTATTCCATTATGACTGAAATTTGTACACATATCAGCCCTCCAAGTTTAATTTTTTTCCTAGTGGCCATTGGCCACCAAGTTCAAATTTTTGGTGGCCAGCTGGAAAATTTAGTAGCCAAGTACAAAATTGTAGGTCGCCAGAATTTATTATGTTTTACAGACAACACAGAAACAACAATTATGTTTAAATTTAAGTATTTATTCAAGCATATGATACTAAATCATATAGTATCACAGAGAAACTGGATGATGTCAACGTGTTCAAATTACCATAGCTGATTTAAATATGTTAAATGTTATTGAACGTAACATGGAAAAGACTTGCTGATGTTGTAGTCCAATCTTTTGGCTTGGATTTTGATGGGAAAACGGCATATTTTTTTTTTTAAATCAAAAAATTAGTTGTTTTCAAAAAATAAACTTAGCATTTGAAGAATAATTTAACATTGATTACAGTGATAACTGCTCATTGTCGAAACAAAGCTTATCCATTCTGGTATTCACGCTAGTCTAGTAGACACAATAAACATCATACTCTTGAATAGGTGTCAATAACTACGGTAAAACTTACTCAATTTTAGGCGTAAGGAATGAAATGTCTGAAAAATGATGCGAAAATGCACCTTGAAAGTCACATTTTATTTTTTTAAATCTCATTTTATTTTTTCTAATCCAAACTTCCGTTTAACGGCCCAGGGCGAATTTATGGCAAAATCCCGTCCCTCAAATAAGGACATGTGAGCTTTGATTATAACTGGATATATTGCACTGGGTCAGGGAGATACAAACTGTCCCAGTTGCTAAACTTCCATGTATCTTTTGTACCTGTACTTCAAACATTCGCAAGTTTTCCTAGGTGGTGCGAGACAGCTTTGTTCGTAACTGGACGAACTCAGTTTAATTCAATGAAGCAAACAACTGTTAAAATTAATTGAAAACAAGCAAATAATTTCCATGAAAAATCACAGAGAGAGGTAACTTGATACCTTAACAACTCTTTTGACCTATTAGTTTTGTGCTGACCTCTTCTCCACGTCTTGATGTTTTGTTTTCCTTATCATACTGATTGATGACTTTGTTTTGATTTTGAGTTGTTTAGCCTACAACTCGGCCATGACCTTTGCTTTTACCGTGAAACAAGGGGAAGTTTACGTTAATTTGACGGACATTCCATTTTTTAAAAACTAACGAAGCACACTGTCTATTATCCCCATTTTTTGATTTGCTGATTTCTATTCTGAAAAATTTGACCGTTCAAAAATGCACCTTAATTTTGTACTTTAAAAACATGTAAGATTTTCAAAACGAATTATTTAAAACCGATTGATATTTTAGTTTTTTCAGAGTTTCAACACTATCGTCCGACACTGATTCACTATGTGGTACATGGCTCGGACTTGCAAAATACGCTGCCATCATACGTTGTTTCATGACTACCGACTAGTTTCGTTCATAACAAATATGCCGGATAAAGTAATACGCATGTGCGGTGTTGAATTGTGGGAAAAACTGCACCACCAAGAGCTGACAAGCTGTACAGTCTGTTTTATATTACGGAAAGTTTAGTCGCTGGCCAGATTATTCTTAGTTCGCCAATTGGCGACCTACATAATTTTTGTAATCGCCATTCATTTAATTTAATCGCCATGGTGACCAAAATGGACGAAATTTGGAGGGCTGCATATCCTAAAATATAAAATCAGAATAATCAAATTATAGAGACTGAAGTCACTTAGTACATTGTGCTTTTATCACAGAAAGTAAACTCTCAACGATTAACAGATTATCTCCAATGCGTTTACATGGTCAGAGGCCAAATGAGAGCCAAGATCTGCAAGAGTTCAATACAGTTCGATCAGGGCTGAACGTATGAAATTAACATGACTAAAATGATTTTGATGTCATGCTTGTGTTATGGCTTCTATACATGGCACGATGCTGTTGAGCTGGGAGATAAAGAAACAGTCTGTTTCTCGTTGAGTTGAAAATCTATCGCCATATTTCTTTACTCTGCCAAATAGATATTAGGGCTCAAGTCGAACGCGTATGCACAGCCACTTTTGCTGGCTCGAGCCGTAGGGCTCTGATAAAATGCTGTTGTGTAAACGTAAGCAAATATATGGTTACAGTCTATTCAGAAAACTGAAAATAAAAAACCTTGCACATACAACATATGAATTCAAACCATATTTAGAACAAGCAAACAATGTCAATCACATAATAAGCATCACAAAGCTTAGGATAATCAAGGAAATATGCGCTGTTACGGCACGCCTGGCTGAAAATGAGTATGCGCACTTGATTTACCCAGAACTCTGTGCGAATCCCCCTTGATTCTGGCTGCTGGCCATTTTCGTTCATGAATCGTCGGATATCATCAGAAAATGCAGGATTTGTGCAGTTTTGAATA